GGTTGCAGTAACCATGGGGGCTGAGGTGGGAGGATAGGTTGAGCCCAGGAGTTTGAAACCAGCCTGGGCAGCAAAGTGAGACCCTGCCTCAAAAAAAGAAAAAAAAAAAAAAAAACTAAAAAGCTATTTCTTACAGATATTCATTGAGTGGAAAGCAATTTAATTTTACATATAATAAGTTATTTCAAAAAGAACTGTAGTTCTGTGTGGCAATTTTTCATAAAAGCCTGATACAAACCAAGATCGACCACGGACTCAGTAGGTGTGCTCCAGAGACACCCTTCGTGACCAAAACAAAGCAGGGCAGAGGTCGGGAGGCCTTTTGGGCTGGGCTCCAGGACACAATGACTAGAAGATGATGCAAAGCGCATGACAGAGTAGAGAGAACTACACAATTTGCTTCCATATTAGACTCTGCAAAAGTAGTTCTTAAATGTTAGCTCACATGCAACCCAGTCACTTTACTGAGTAGATTCCTGGACTCCAGTCCTGGGTGATTCTTGCAGGTGGTGCATTGACCAGATTAGGAGAATCATTGTCCAAGGTCTCAAAGCCAAATTTAGGACGCTGAGAGAAAGAATCCTAAGTGGTTGAATGGGAAACTGATTCTCCTTTTGAGCACACCTTAGATTCAAATAATTGATTGGAGAAGATCATTCTATACAAAAATCCTCTGACCTGCAGAGTTTCTACAAAAAGTCTTGAGAAAGAAAAAAAACATATATTTTTGGAAAAGATTGAATTTAATTATAATTTTGCAAATTACACTGTGAGAAAGGTCAACAAAAAGAAGTGTATTGCGGATGATCTTCTAAAAAGAACCTTTTGTAAAGCAAACAATTACCTTCTGATTTGTCTACTCTGAACGCTTGATGTTTATTTAAATTGGATGTTCTCATAGCAGGACACACCTGATACCTGGCTTGTCTAAACACTTAGAAAGTCAAATTGTCTAGTTATCAAAGCCCATCTTATTTCCTGAACACGTATGGATGGTCCTTCAGGAGTCATTTCACAGTGATGTGCAGAGAGAAAAATGAAACAAACAAACAAACAAACAAAAAACAAATCATTGTTCCTGAGTGCATTTTCTAGCCTATGTCTAACTTTCTAGCAGATAAAAGGCAATAAAAATGTTTGGGTCCAACACTGCAACATAATTTGAAATTCCTTGCTTACTGAAATCCTAGCCAAAAGGCTTTCTTTAGTTTTGTATTAAATTATCCCACTTGGTTGGCGGCCTTAATCAACTTAACCAATTATTTACCAGATCACCATTTGCCTCTGTGCAGACACCCCGTCAGAGCTCAGGTGGACAATTTCTTGGGCCAGAATGCCTTTCTTTTTCGTCAATACCAAGACTGTCTCCTGCCACACCTTTAACAGTGCTCTCCATCTGTAACCTCAGGTTCATAATGCAGCTTTGTTACTTGGTTTGTCTAAAAGCAATTAGTAGTTTCAGATTTGTATTTCCTATTTAGGGGAGAGATGATTTGGGGGAGAGTTGGGGAGGTGACTGAACAAAGCCAGTTGAACAGTTAATACTTTAACCTTGCGTATAATTTATACAATAAACAAAGTCACATGCTTCCCTAATAATTTAGATGTAAGCAAATGTTGATTTATTCAGGAAGGCTACTGCCAGAAGCAAAGCCTGCAGCACTAAAATTTGAATTAAACTAGGACAGAAGCAGGCTAGTCTATAATAACATTTGTATAATTTTATTTTTGCCCTTGGCTCAGTTCATTTCCTCGTACAGTAGATGCATGAAATTGGTTCTTCAGCCACCTTTAGCTGATGCTCATTGATATCCGGGCAGGCAGAGAAGCAAGAGAATGCACCTTTCTAAGCTTTGTGTTTTCAATCATAAGGCCTTGACTTCCTAGGTCATTTCTGACAATGATTATCTTTCTCTGAATTGTGTTTTTGGCAAATATCTCAGAAAAGCTTCATTTAACCTAGAGATACAGTTTCCCCCCTCTTACTGTGAGGGGACTCTTAGAACTGAGACAGTTAAATAGATGCAAATGTTGTGCTGTTTTTATTCCTTTATTCAAGCCCTGGGGCATGAAATCTGAGTTCTCTTACTCTGCTTTCGGCAGTGAAATAAGGGCCTGAAAAATTCTTTAAATGATGGTGAAAAATAAACATTAACTTGAAACAGTGAGGAATCAACCCCCCCTTTTACTATTAACCTTTGACTTAAGTAAAAACTCGGACCTACATTTTACAACTTACCACTTGTGTTAGGATCTGAGGCTCCTTTTGAGGGAGCAGGCTCAAGCTGGTAAATAATTTTGGAGAGCTTCTGAAAAGTAGATGAAGTTTTACATCCAAACATAGAGAAACCTGGTTTTTTCATGGCAGTTCCTGAAATAATGACATTGCCAACACACACAGCACACACATGGAAGCATTCTCAACCCCCATAATCACCTGGAAATGTCTTACAATTTTTATTCTTCCTCCTCCATACTTCCATTTTAGGCATAGTAACAGCATTTTAGAGCGTCAAAACTTCTGAAATGAAGAATTTATTCCCTTAGTTCAGGAAATCAATTATGCTAAAAATTCTTCCTGACCTTTTATTTAAGGGGAGTTAAGAAAAAATAAAATCCTAAAAATTTAGAAACTAAAGAATTGGTATTTACACTTTATGTGCAATAATGCATTTATGCCTCACTTCCTCCAGCTGAGAAGGTAAATAGCAGCCCTAGTGTTTTGGAGGCAAACATTGTTCTGTCCTATTCTTGGTAACAAAATCTGCTCCCAGGCCTTCTCCATCCCTGTCTGATTGTGCCCTGGGGCTGTTGCAGGCGGCCAGAGGAGCCTTTCAGAAAATCCAGGCCATGTTTTGACTTCATTAGAGATTCCAAATAGAACAAGTTTTAGCCTGGCTCAGGCTTTGGTTATGAAAGTTTCCCACAGCTCTCAAAAATATACAGAATAATAAATGGCTGGGCAGAGAAATAGAAGGCAATAGTCATTCCATCAAAGGTTTCTAGTCACATCATAAACTACAATTGCAGAGCCTGAGGAGCTTATGTCACTAGGACCCAGAGATAAAATGTTTTGCCTTTGGCCCCCGAGGTCACGCGCTGGGGCAAGAGCTTTGAGGTTGGGTCCTTTGTTTGCAGACTGGCAGGGGAAGGGCACTTGATCCCTGCCTAGGAACAGAAAGAATGCCTCTGTCCCCCACCCTGTGGCCCCTTGGCCTTCCCTGGGGACAGGCTGTGTGGCTCAGCGGGCATTGTGAAACCTTCCACCCCAAGGGGTGGCTGTGAAGCTTCAAATGTTTTCGGGCATTTCCAGCATAAAGGCAAAAATTGATGAGTTTCAGTGGGATAAGCTCTGAGGCTCCAAGGAAAAAACCCTAAGGCGGTGGGTGTGAGGAGGAAACTTTTTATTGTCTTGCTGCAGATTTTTTTCTTTCATTTTTCTTTTCTTTTTCTTTTATTAAGTCAAGATGTTATATGAATGCACCAGTTAAATATTACATGCAAACTTCTTAAGGGAACCATTTCCTCCCCAGTTTACAGATCAGTCTGTAGTTTGTCCATATTCCTGTTTCCCATCCTTCTTCCTCCTCTCTCCCTTGTTCCAGGTTCTCCCTTCTCTTACCCCCAGCCTTTTTTGGGAGGAATCATAAAACCACACTTTAATGACAAACTCCAGAAGGCTAGACCTGATGAGGATCCTAGATATTCACCCTACCAACTTCCATGGAATGGCCTTCATTTTCCACACACTTTTATTTCAGAAAACATATGAACTACTAGAAGTCACTCAAACAAGGAAGGATTTACATTCATTTTTCCCCCAAATAGTCTTAATATACATGTTTCTTGCTAGAAGCAGATTTTGTTGATGCTTTATTTTTTAAAGCCAGTAACTAACTATAGCCTGACAATTCCTATCCCATCACATTGATATTAGATTGGTGGGCTGTGACTTTATGACATCAAAGAAATTGATTACAACTTTTTTATATGTGGCTCACATGCAGTCATTACCATGATCCAAACATTATATGCTAACCTCGGAATCACGGAAGTGATGGGAGAAACACACTGTGGTTAGTGATTAAAGATTGGACTCAAAATTGTCTCCAAACCCATTTTTTAAGTCTTTGAATATGACCAAAATTGTATTAATGAGCTTTGGCTGGAAAGAACACTACAGTGTGTCTCTATCTCCATTTCTCACATTTTAGTTAAACTTATAAACCCTTCCCCCAGATGGGCTTCCCCTGGTAACCATATTAAACAGAAACATTAGGTAGAATCCATAAGAAAATATTCATGCTTGTAATCCTAGCACTTTGGGAGGCCAAGGGGGGCGGATCACCTGAGATTGGGAGTTCTCAACCAGCCTGACCAACATGGAGAAACCCCGTCTCTACTAAAAAAATAAATAATAATAATACAAAATTAGCCAGTCATGGTGGTGCACGCCTATAATCCCAGCTACTCTGGAGGCTGAGGCAGGAGAATCACTTGGACCCGGGAGGCAGAGGTTACGGTGAGCCGAGATTGCACCATTGCACTCCAGCCTGGGCAACAAGAGCAAAACTCGGTCTCAAAAAAAAAAAAAAGAAAAGAAAAAAGAAAATATTCATTCCTTTTTTTAAATGCATAAACCATCCAGAAAATATATACCTTAAAAATAAAAAAGGGGTTGAGTAAATATTTTATATTTCACTCATCTGGAATTATAATAGAAAGGAAAACTGTTTTATTAGAAAATTTACCATTTGCAGGGAGGTGTGTGTGCCTATGCCCCTGAGTCTTTATTAAGGCAATGGAGGAAAAGCAGCCAGGAACAAGGTGAAAAGAAGTTCATTCACTGTCTCAGAAAATAAAGACCTCAGACTTTCTAAATGAAAATATACCATTGGCATCAGATACTAATCACAAGGTAATTATTTTTAAAGAGGTTCCTAAGTAAGACACACACACCCATGACACCCCGAGGCTAATCTACGCACCGAGAGACTTACTCTGCCCTTCGTTGTATGTGAGTTAGTTGTCCTTGGAGTGAATAAAAGCTGCTTTCCATGTTATTCTACCCTCCTGTAAAAAGAAGAAAAAAATGTCACTTCAGAAGATATGGATAAAAATGCATCTGATTAAAAAACATTCCTCAAGGGCAATTTGGATAAAAGTTAAACTGGGCAACATCAAACTAGGCCCCTTCCTATAAAATACATCAAATTCAAAGAAGTTTCTTGTTTTTGTTTTCTTTTAAGTTACTAATCTTTTTAATGAATCTCAGACTCCATCAGCCAAACTGCTTTTTTGGTAAGAACAGTTTTTACCTATGTAAAGGCAAGGATTGGTTTGACAGAAAGCACCCAAAATATTAATGACACGGCAAAATATCTTTCTATTCTTTAGTTAAGAAAAAAACTCTGTTCAAGGAATTTCAAGTGAACAGAATTATCCACACTGGAAAGGACAGTCCTCATCAATCTAGGTGACTTACTATGGGCTTATGATCCCTAAAAGTGGCCCCCAGTACCCCCCCATATCCCTGCTGGCATGAATTACAACACCAGGTCACCTCTTCAAGAAATCCCCATTAATAAGCCTCCAACAGTGTAAAATATCAGCTGTTGTGGAAATTTTTTTCAAGTATAAAGAGAGTTTCTGCCCTCATTAGGCTACATGTTATTAGACTGCATGTATGTCCATATCTTATACCAAGCCTATGAGCTATCTAATGTCCTGTAACTCCCTTTGGAGCTATATGCTAGTCAGCACTTTTCATTCATTCATTCATTCATTCATTCATTCATTCATTCATGTAACCTCCCTTATTGAAGACCCCACAATGTGCCAGCACTGCTTCTAAGAGCTGGGACATCAGACATGAAGGAGACAGGTATCATCCTGCTCTAGAGGAGTTTATTTTCCCCCAGGCAGAGGCATTCAATAAACCAGCAAACAAATGAAGGAAACCATTTTGGACAGTGATCAGTGAAATAAAAATAAAGGAACGTGGTCAGATAGGGTGGGCTAACATGGACAGAAAGTCTTTGTTGGGTAGGTGGAGATGTTGAGCTAGAATCTGAATGTCAAGAAAGAGCCAGTTGTTGAGAAGCTAGGAAAATGAATTCTGCTTGTTTTTTAGTAAAGATTGATTTACTCACATTATTGTATGGATTGTACAACCTCACAAGCAGTATCACAGACAACTCACAGGATTCCAAGCAGAAATTCAAAACCCAGGCATAGCAAGAACGCTTAGCTTTTATTTGCCAGCAGGACAACCCCAGGCATTATTGCTCAGCTGAGGGCATATTTAATTACCAAATGCTCTGCAAATGTCTTCCAAATTGTATAGATAAAGCCATCTAAATTGCTGACTTTCAAGAGGATATATTCCTTCCTTTATCATAGAAATGCCCCATTCCCTGATGAATTTGCATTTCCAATGATTCACCATTCATTTTAAATTCATTTTAATTTACAATTACTTTCTTAAATTCTTCTACACAGCTGGGAATCTGTAAAGTGCATTTGCTTTATTTCATTAGATAACTAACTTCATTGCTACCTGAGCAGTTCTTTGCTTCAGAAAAACATGCAGCACTCCTGCTATTTCACTGTACAGGCAGCATACTCACCATGCCAGCCAGATTTAGAAATGATTGCTTTTGCTTGTGGCTTACAAGAAAAGACTTCATATCATATATTAATTTTTAAAATGTTTTCTTAAGCCTCATTTTAGCCTCTATGGCAAACCCAGAGGCCAGGTAAAAATGAATGGTTATAATATGGTTTTGTTTAAAGGCATGAAAGTTAGCCATAGCCTTTTCCCATGACACATCTGGACACTTCCATTATGGTCACTTAGGTGTCTGATGGTTTGTCAGAAAGCTAGCCATAACTTAGGCGGAAAACTGGACTCCATTAAAAAAACATTAAAGGCTGAGAGGGAGGCAAGTTGATGTGGCATGGCTCCCAGCACTAAGAAAGCAAGAGTGCATGGTGAAGCTTAGAAATAGAAAGTGATGTCCTCATAAAAACATGGCTCCAGGCTGGTGTGCCACTAGAAATTCTTCTGTCAGTTTAGAATATTTAGCTCTAAGGGATTTCGACTTTCAAATGTATCTTTGGATGCAAAATAGGCTGCACAGGAGGAGATAGCATAGAAGGGAAAGAAGCGTTTGCTCCCAATTATGATCAGCTTACGTTAAACTGAAAATTCCTTTTCTTCCAGATAGAATATTTGATTAGAAAGGGGGGCAAGTAGATTAGAGGAGCTACCTTGCTGACATCAAGTGATCCTCTGGCCTCCGTAACTAGAAAACGTTGCTGATAACTGATAGAGCTAAACAATATTAAAAGCTTCAGCACTACTGGTTATCAGGGGAACCTTTCAGCCTAATTGGAAAGCTCAAAGCTTCAGGCATCTGAAATATTTTGGTTTAGGGCTCTTCTACAGCATTCCAATGCAGTATATCCAATCAATAATGTGATGCTATGCACAATACCATCACGAGGCTTATTAACTCCCCTGAGTTTTGTATTTGACTTGTTAAACTGTAAAAAGAGTTGGAGAAAACAAACAGAAAAGAAATATCTCGGTCCCTAGCTGCCAAAATATAAAATAAATAAACAAACTCCAGTGCTCAAAAAAAAACTGAAAAGGGCAAAGTGGAAAATATACACAGATGTACTTTCATGCACAAAACATGAGCATCTTGGATGATTTCTCTTAGTGTGATCCGTCCTGTGTTTTAGGCAAAGGGGGCATCCATCCAAGCAGATTGAATTATGTGCTAAAATTCAGTTATGGTGATGTAGATTCCACTCTAAAACCTATGGACATGAGGCTTTTTTCCACAGCAGACTGTGGTGCTTTTCAGCCCACCCTGGCTACAAGCAGTGGTTACAGCTGCAGCAATTAGAGGCGGGCATCCCAAGGAAGTTCAATATAGTCGGTTCCTCAGAGCGACAGCTGTCTGCATCTGGGATACTTCACAATTTTCTTACCAATCTCCTTGCACAGAACTAAACAGCAGAATTTTCACACTCTGGTGACTCTGACAGAGCCCGCTTGATTCAGATGTTTGTGAAATTGTCTGCTCCAGAGAACTTCCGCGGAAATCATCAGGGAGGTTTCGACAGCAACAACCAGAAAAAGTTCTTCATTTGGTTTTGAATTTTCCTTTTCCCCCAAAGGTTCACCAAGCTGCCGCTATAAGAGGTTTGAAAGGGAACACAGGTGGTATTAACAACCGAGTGAAAGGTAAGGAGCAGAAGTTGGAGTTCAGATCAAATCCAGCACCCGCTCCTGCCCTGTGATGGGAAACAACAACCTCTAGAAACACACGGCACAAGCCTCTTTTCTGTGCCTGAGTTAAGAGATACACAGACCTAAATCTGAACTTAAAGACACATATTTACTCACATTTTAAACTATCTGAAGTGATACTACAGCCCACAATCGCTGTTAGCCAGCAGCAGTCAGCCGTCGTTGTCATTGCGTATACACGGGCATGAAACTGTGCAATGGCTGGGAAGAGAATCCTGAAGATGAGTGGGGACATCTCTTAGGAAATGCTACATCACCAACACTCTCAACAGCAAAGCAGATGATCCTGTGCAGCCAAACAGGAACTTGATGACTCCAAGTTGGAAAATAATTCAGAAGAGTCAGACTCAGAATGTGAAGTTTCGTAAATACCTTGACTAATTTATTTCATGTATACTTTCCTTATTACATACACACAAGAGATGTATATGAGAGAAATCCATGCCAAAATAAGTTTAAAACCTTTTTCAGGGTCTCACTCTGTTACCCAGGCTGGAGTGCAGTGGCTCAGTCTTGGCTCACTGCAACCTCCACCTCCTGGGCTCAAACAATCCTCCCACCTCAGCCTCCTGAGTACTGGGACTACAGGTGCGCACTGCCATGCGTGGCTAAATTTTTTTGTATTTTTGTAGAGATGGGATTTCGCCACGTTGCCCTGGCTGGCCTCAAACTCCTGGGCTCAAGTGATCCACCTACCTCTGCCTCCCAAAGTGCTAGGATTACAGGCGTGAGCCACTGAGCCTAGCCAAGAAACTCTTCCAATAGGTATACAATGAAAATTCTAAGGAATAAAACAATTACTGTGGTATAGTTGTGGTGGTACATCTTTCTTTCTGCATGGTACATAAAATCAATACAACCTAGACATCTAAAATTCAATGAAATATACAATTTTGGTAACCTGGAAGAGTTTACCTAGCTTCTCTGAGCTTCAGATTTCTCTCCTAGAAAAGGAGAATAATAACCCCGACTCCCAGAGAGATGGGGGCTGACAGAGCCAGCTCAGATAGAGTTCACAGAAGTCTATGTCCAACATTGTCTATTCCTCGTCAACAGTAGTAGCTACTCACCTCTTGTCATTCATCTGTTTCGGCCTGGACACAATGCAAGTATCACAAACATACTCATTTACTTAACCCGGTGTACTTTACTTTGTTCATTAAACTCACCAGCCATGCACCAAGTGGACAAAAAAACAAGTACCAAGAAGGCCTTGATGTAGCGTATTTTTTTGGTGATCATCTATGAAGCAGATAAAGTGAAATGAAATGATTGTTTGAATCCAGTGTTCTAATGGTAGAATAATTGTGACGTCAAAACAGATTTTTTTAAATGTGACTCCAGTGGAATAGAAATGAATACATCAATCTCAAAGTGGATAGAGAAAATTGTTTTTTTTTTTAAAGGAAAACTTTTGACAGTGAAAGAATGAGCCAACTAAAATGCCAAATTGTGTTTAAGTCAAAAGGTTAGATGACAGTTATTTTTCTCTGATTCCAACAAACAGGAAAAGGGGAATATGCAAATGAGCAAACGCAACCTAAAGTTAGCTTTTATTTTTACTTATTTTTTTCCTTTTAGAAAATCCAGTTTTAAGTGGTTGTTTCCTTTTAAAATAGTAGAGAAACAGAGCCAATGGGCTTCCAGTTTCCATTTTCATTCTTTCTTAGTATTTTCCTGCACAAATCTTCACCATAATACTGTAGATATCTCCTTTCTGCTTTGTAAGGTCACAGTTGGTAGAGTCATATACAGAAAAGAACAAGTTAGCCCCCTTATGCCTTAACAAATGTGCAACTGTGCTCTTTTAAAAGACTAGATGGCTGTCCAGAGAGATAGAAGGGCATCAAAGTAGAGAATATGAAGACAAGCTAACAATCACTAATGTATTCTTAGAGGCAAGGCCTGTATTAAAATGATGGAATTACAATTTACGACCAAATTGTAATCTCATAATTTTAGGTCAATGTACACCCCAAACAAACAAAAACACAACCTGTTTTTAATGCATAGGGTGGGAAAGGTAAGATAGAATATAACACCAAAAGAAAATAATTCTGCCTGACAGAGTCCCCGGAAGAGTGAACTGAATAAGTAAGCAAGTGGACATCAGCCTTCACTTGAAGTACCCTTCTTCCTTCAGTCCACTAAGCTAGGCATTTGGAGTTGCTGTTGCAGCTGTAGGATATTTACAAGGTCCATTATTTTATGCTGTCTGCTGTTGTGCACTTTTGCAAATAAATATTTTGCATGTCCCAAAATAAGCTCACAGGTGGAGATGGCATCACACCCAGAGCCAAAGACAGGACCGTAAACTGACATGACATGGCTTTGAGTGCCTGTGACAGCACAGCTGCTGCTGGAGTTAAGACAGAGTGTTCCCTGTGCCTCTGCCCCTCTCTGCTAACCCAGCCCCACATTTTTAGATAAATATAGTTGAACAGAATCTATTCAGCGAACGTAGAGCAAAATGGTACAGACTTTGGGCTCCCACAACCCCACCAAACCTGCTCTCTTTAAGGACACCAGTGACTTAGTAGCCAAATCTTTTGGACAGCCTTTAGCATCTTTCTTTTCCTGTCTTGACCACATTCTCCTTAAAATCCTCTCCTTTCCTGGGGGCTTCAGGACACCATCCTCTCTTGGAATTCTTCACAAAAGCTATGGTCTCTGCCTCTTGTGTTTCTTTTCTTCTTCTTCCTTCTTCCTCCTCCTCCTCCTCCTCCTCCTCCTTCCTTCTTCTTCTTCTTCTTCTTCTTCTTCTTCTTCTTCTTCTTCTTCTTCTTCTTCTTCTTCTTCTTCTTCTTCTTCTTCTTCTTCCTCCTCCTCCTCCTCCTCCTCTTCCACTTCCTTCTCCTCCTCCTCTTCTTTTTCTTCATCTTCTTCTTCTTCTTGTTGTTTTTAGAGACAGGATCTCACTCTGTTGCCCAGGCTGGAGCACAGTGGTACAATCACGACTCATTCCAGCCTAGAACTCTTGGGCGCAAGCGATTCTCCTGCCTCAGCCTCACGAGTAGCTGGGACTACAGGTATGTACCACTATGCCCAGATAACTTTTTTTTCTATTTTTTGTAGAGATGGGTTCTCATTATGTTGCCCAGGCTTGTCTTGAACTCTGGGCCACAACTGATCCTCCCACCTCAGTCTCCCAACATGCTAGGATTACAGGTGTGAGCCACTGCACCTAGCCTTGGGTTCCTTTTGACACCCCTTGAATGCTGGTGTTCCCCAGGACCTTCCCACTCAAGCTGTTGTTCAAGAGCCAGCAGCATGTACCACCTGAAGGCTTGTCAGAAATCCTAGTGCTCAGGATAATGCTTTGAGAACAAATCTACCTCCCAACATCTGCAATCTGACTCTACCTTTCTCTCCCCACTGCGACTATCTTGGTCTATGACCTGATCATCCCTCATCTGGAGTATTTATCAGTCACTTAACTGGTCTTCCTTAGTCCATTCTCTCCTCTTCCATCAATTTTTTAATGCAAATTGTATTATGTCTGGGGCAAGTTGAATAACGACCCCTCAAAAATATTCACATTCTATCCCTGGAACTTCTGAATGTTACCTTACATGGAAAAAAGCGACTTTGCAGGTGTGATTAAGTCAAGAATCTCGAGATGAGATTATCCTGGATTTCCCAGGTGGACTCGGTGGACTCTGAAGGTGTCCTATAAAAGAAAGGCAGGAGGATCCAAGTGAATAGTTGGAGATGTGACAATAAAAGCAAGAAGCTGGAGTGATTTAGAAGCAAGAAGCTGGAGTGATTTGAGGAAGGGGCCATAAGCCAAGGAATGCAGGTGGCCTGCAGAAACTGTAAAAGGAAGCAAGGAAATGGATTCTTTTCTAGAGCCTCCAGAAGGAACATAGCCCTTCTGACGTTCTGATTTTTAGACTTCTGACCTCCAGCGTGGTAAACTAAAAAATGTTCACCAGGATCACTTGAGGCCAAGAATTTGAGACGAGCCTGAGCAACATAGTGAGACACCATCTCTACCAAAAAAAAAAAAAAAAAAAATTAGCTGGGCCTAGTTGTGTACACCTGTAGTCCCAGTTACCCAAGAGGGCTGAGGCAGGAAGATTGCTTGAGCTCAGGAGTTTGAGGCTGCAGTGGGCTATGATCATGCCACTGGACTCTACCCTGAGTGACAGAATGAGGCCCTGTCTCAAAAAAAAAAGGAAGGATCTCCTTAAAAAGGAGTTTGAGGCTGGATGTGGTGGCTAATGCCTGTAATTCCAGCACTTTGGGACGCCAAGGCAGGCAAATCATTTGAGGTCAGGAGTTTGAGACCAGTCTGGCTAAAGTGGCGAAACCCTGTCTCTACTAAAAATACAAAAATTAGCCAGTCATGGTGGAATGTGCATGTAATCCCAGCTACTCAGGAGGCTGAGACATGAGAATCACTTGAACCCAGGAGGCAGAGGTTGCAGTGAGCCAAGATCGTGCCACAGCATTCCAATCTGGGTGACAGAGAGACTGTCTCCAAAAAAAAAAAAAAAGAAAAAGAAAAAGAAAAAAAAGAGTTTAAGATGGAATAATCATAGCATCTTCCTCCTTGAGTTACTTGATAATCCATCCTAAGTGGTTGGCACCACACCAGAAACTTAGTAATTGCTCAATACTTTTAGCTGTTAACTACACTTTATTAGCATTCAACTAAAAATTGTTAACATTTATTAAGCCTTTATTATATTCTAAATACTGTTAAGTGTTTTACATATAGGCATTTATTTAATACTCACAAATACCCTCTCAAGTAGATATGATTATTATCATCCTAACGATGAGGAAACTGAGGCACAGGGGTTACATGGCTTGCCCAAGGTCAAACATTAAATAATAGAGCTGAGATTCAAACCCAAGCAGCCTGACTCTAAATCCTG